GATTTCTACTCCGATTATTTGCACTAGCCAGAGGAAGACAGAGGAAGCAGCGGGTGGCCCTGTATTCCAGCTTCCTCAAACGCCTTCGTCACGTAACCCTGAGGATCCTACCAGCAGTTCTGGTGCTGTGACCTGTGGTCCAGAACTCTCAGCTCACATGGGCTGGGGTGGGTCATGGAAAAGACCCCAGAGGATCAGTTTCTCTCCTTGGCTCTGGCCCCAAACTCACAGTTTTCCTTTTGGGGAATCTCTGAAACAAAGGCCAGAAATAGTTCATCCCTAGATTGGCCTTAAATGTGGGTGACAGGGTCCCCAAGTGCCACTCAGGAACTCCTTGTGCACTACAGATTCAGGGTGTGAAACAGCCTTTATTTCATCCCCCCCCCCAAAAAAAGAGCTCAAAATAGCAGGGACTCCCAAGAGCCCTGGAACAAATATAGAAATGGACAGCTAGCCAATTGTCCGCTGGCCACCCCCCCCCACCAACCAAGGGGAAAGGACTCGGGCTGTTAGACAAGCATTCCCCTGCCTTGTCTAAGCAGACCACTGGGGTCTCTCCCCTTCTTGGTGCATTAATTATTAATCAATCAGTAAGCATTGCTTTGACTTCCTTCGGAAGCACAAGGCAGAAGGAGATATGTGCTTGCAGTCTGAGAGGAGAGATCCTAAAAATAGACGTCCCCGTCTTGGCAGCTACCTCACGGGCTGTCCCGAGTTCGAGAGCTACTGAGTTTGAGTATTTGGGCGCTTGGCCTTCCAGAGAAAGGAAAGATTTTGGATGCCATTAAGATTGTGAGCTCTTTGAGGTCAGGGACTGTCTTTTTGTATCCCCTGCGCTTAGCACAGAGGATGGCATACAGTAGGAACTATACATGTTTTAGTTATTATTAGCATTGTTGTTATATGAGATAAGATAGGTAAAGTGCTTTGTGAACCTTAATGTGCCGTGGCCAGTCACCATTGTCTTGGGGCAGCCCCAGACACTGGCAGCTCCTCAGACAAGTTTCTTTGTCCTTTCCTCCAGGGGCCAGTGCTCCTGTCTGTCCCCTTGGGAGGTGCCCTAGGTAGCACAATTATCGTTGTCCACATTTTATAGAGGAAGAGACTGAGTCAGAGCCCTGGAAGGATCTAAGTAAAGGTCTGAAGTGAGATCTGCACTTGCCTTTCCTGCCTAGTCCAGCACACTGTACTGTACAATACTCCCCCTACCATAGACTGTGAGAGCTGATAGGTCTCCCCTCGTTTTACAGATGAGTAAACTGAGGCCAAGAGAGAGGAAGGATTTACCCCATGGTCACACAGGTATTAACCGGCCCAAAGCCAAGACTCTTGACCAGTCACTTACCTGCTTCACTAGGATGATTGGAATAAGTGGGAACTGTTTCACAGTCAGAATTCAACAAGTGTCTACTGTGTGTCAGGAGTTAAGTGAGGCTCTGTCCCCCAAAGAGCTTCTGGAGGCTGCAACCCCAGAAACTGCAATTTCCAATTGACCCCACATGGTTAATGCCCTTTCTAAAGGAGACAGTTTGGGACAGTGGACAGTGGAAAGAATGCTGTCTTTAGTTTCATAGGAACTGGATTCAAATCTTGCCTCTGATGACGGTGAGCTATAAGGTCTTGGGCAATCCATGCCACCCCCATGCCTCAACTTACTTGTCTGTAAAGTAAAGATGTCACACTCGATGGCCTCTAGATCTTGCGCTGGCCTGTCTCTGGGTGTTTCACTTCTGAGCAGTGCTGGACAACGTGCACCCTCGTAGCATGAGTCTGGATGGCTTGTCTGGGATCCTTGCGGACATGAGTTCTGTAGAAAGAGTGTGTCCAGATGGCTCGAGAATCCCTTCCTTCAGAGAGGAAGCTGGCTCAATTCATTTTTTTAAACGTGACTAGAGGGTAACAGGTTGATTCTCCCTGAACCCCAACTCTCCAGGCATGCTCCATTTAGATTGCCCTATTAATGCAGGAATCCATTGGAGAGATTTTCTATCCAAGGCAGTTTGGTTTCTCCCTTGAAGGTGAGAGGTTGACTTTCAAAGTTGACCCAAGGTCTCAAATCCTTGTTGGAAGAGAGAAAGGAAGATTCCTTCTAGCTCAGACCCTATAATCCTATGCACATCACATTCCTCTCATAGAATGGAAGCTTCCCAAAGGCAAAGAATATTTTTGGGGTTTGTTTTCATTATCCCGGTGCCTCGCACATCTTCTAATACTTGAACGGCTCTGTGTTTTCAAAAGACTTAAATCGATTGTCATAACAAAGAGACTAAAAGATTCCCCAAAAGATTTCAGTTGGCAAACACTTGACTTGCCAAGAAAAGAAAGATGGAAACCAAGGGCAACATAGGTTTAGAATATCGTCTGGTTTGTGCAGTCTTAAGGAGAAAGATGATAGGAGGTTCTGAGCAGTATCGCTTCCAAAGCAGCTGAGTTTATGAGTTTAAGCTGGGTTAGCCCTGACCTTTAAGAGCTTTTATTCTGAGCCCCTTCAAATCACACCGACGACTAGAGATACCAGAGGTGTGATTGATAAGGCTCAATAGCCCTCTCAGAGATAGACTTCCCAGCCTTCCCTCAAGCTAGATTGTTGTGGGTGTGAGCATAATAATGATGATGATGATAGCCAGAATGTATACGATGTCTGCTAGATGGACTTTTCTTTTAGGCAGCTGGTGGCACTGAGGACAGAGTGCCCAGCCAAAGAAAGGTATGAGTTCAAATCTGACCTCAGACACTTACTAGTCGTGTGACCCTGGGCCTCAGTTTCCTCATCTATAAAATGAGCTAGAGAAGGAAATGGCAAACCCCTCCAGTATCTCTGCCAAGAAAATCCCAAATGGGGTCAACAGAGAGTCAGACACAACTGAGCAACAACAAAATACCAGGTACTTTACAAATATTATCATATTTTCTCCTTTCACTGTTGAAAGGAGATAGGGGATGAAAGGGGATAGGTGATATTATTATCCCCATTTTACAGTTGAGGAAACTGAGGAAGATAAGAGTTAAGTGGCTTGTGCATAGTCACATTTGAACTCAGGTCTTCCTGACTTCACTTTAATAACCAATTATTGAATCTGGACTAAGGTTTTTCCTTTCCTATTTCCTTTTTCGCTATTAGGTCAAATGGGCCTCTGAAGAACAGGGCTGACAATGAGATTGGATTTAACATTTCCCTCAATCTTGTTCAGAGGCCACCCAGCTTGTTCTACTCTGGCTTGGGGAGGGGGTGAGATCTTGTCTAGATTGCCCTGAGGTGGGAGGGGGTGGTCTAGGAGTGAGAGCGACATAGTCAGTCCCTCATTAGAATAGATCCACTTCTCATTATAATATTAATTCTTCTCATTAATTGTTAACCAATCAGAGTTGATGCTAGCTGTCAGAAACACCTACTCTTCCAAGGGCATATAAGCATCGATAGGCCGCCATCATCCTTCTTTGGTCCATGAGAGATGGCCAAATGACTATCCTTTATTAATTACGTGCCAGCCACAATGAATAAAACAATTACCCAGAAATTACGTCTCTCCAACTTTTTATGTGTGGCTTTTTCTCCATGGCTCTCTAGGAGGGAGGAGAGGGATAATCACAAGGGGAAATTTAGGCCACATAACAACGTAAGATAGCAAAACGAGTTTGGGGTTTGAGGGTTATTTTAGCTCCTTCTCGAGATGCACAAGGGTTCAGCATTCTGTCAGCCAATCTGGAGTCACGTCCCTTCACACGGACACCACCCAGCACATTCAGGGCACCCTCAGCCCTTCCAGTCCCAAGCTTGGGTGGGAAAGGAGCCCCGGTCCTGTTGAATAGTCAACGAAATACAATATAATTTGAATTGAGTCATGCATTGCCATAGATGGGCTCAGAAGGAGGCTCCGCTTTGGAACAAGTACATTAACTTTCAGGTGATCAGAGCCCTCTTATTCTTCTGTGATTCCTCTTCTTCCCAGTGTAATCAATCACCCTGACAGCAGGGGCTGTCTTACTTCCTTTTTTCCCTCTGTCTCCCCAGCACTTAGCACAGTGCTGGGCACACAGTAGGCACTTAACCAGCGTTCCCTGGCTGGGCACACAGTAGGTACTTAACCAGTGCCCCTCAGTT